TTTTTTTTTTTTTTTGTGGAACCAGGGATTGAACTCAGGCCCTTGTGCTTGCCAGGGAAGCGCATATTCCACTGAGCCATCTCCCCGGCCCGTTCTTCTTCTTTTATTTATTTATTTTAAATGTATTTGGTACAGGGCCTCACTACACAGCTTAGACTCATAGTGATCCTCCTGCCTTCAGACACTTCAGTGCTGGGATTACAGACATGCACCACCAGGCCCAGTCTCGGTGGCTGGCTCAGTGCACCCATGATAGGCCAATGTGGCCTGTGGTGCCAGTGATCGAATCCTGGTCCCTGTGATTACCTGCTTAGTCCATTAAGCTATCTCACCTGCCCTGCCTTATCCCTCTTAGAAGCCAGCAGGGGTGGTGGTGGTGCTGTTGCTGGTACTGCTTTTTTTAGTTTTGTCAGTGGTTCTTTTGTGGGAGACAGGAGAGGCTCAGGGAGCACAGACAGGAAATTCCCTGGCTAGCAGGCCTAGGACAAAGACAGGAAGGGACCATGTGGGCAGACTCCTCAGCAGGCCTCAGACCTGAAGCAGGCAACAGAGAAGCAGGGGGGCCTTGCTTTTCAGGTGTAGCGCCCCCCCTACACACACGCGCACGTGCACACACACACACAGAGCAAGACTTCCATGAGACAGGTCCTTGCTGACTTGCCCCTCCTCTGACCTGTGGATCCCATCTCCCCTCTTCCCCAACTCCCCTCTCCTCTCTCTCTCCTACAGCCTGATTAGAAAACACAGCCCCTACCATGTACTGGCCTGGCTCAGGAGCTCCTGATCCATGGGCGCTGCTGGCTAAAGATGAGCAAGTTCCCCCTATAACCCTAGTCCCTTGTCACATTTGCCCATGTTGCTCCCCACCAATGGTCCTTAAGACATGTGAACTTGATGGAAATGTGGACTCTCAGGCTCCACTCCTACTTCTGAGTCAGACACACAGAGGGAGCCCAGGAACCTGCATTTCCAACATTGTCCAGTGAAGTGATGTGAGTAAATGTGAGGACATCTGATCTGGAACAGAGTCACCAGGGAAGCTGCTTAGAATCTGTGCACTCTGTGACCCCCTCAGTACCCCAGACCATTTAAACAGGAATTCCTGGGGTCCACCTGGGCACCAGGGGTCTTCAAAGCTGCTTGGGAAATTCTAAGATTCAGCCAGGCCAAGACCACATTTATTATGGACCTGGCTCTAAATATTCTAACCAGGGGCTGGTGAGATGGCTCAGTGGTCTAAAGCACCTACTTAGAACAAGCTTAGCAAAGCACAGGGATCGCGGTTCAATCCCCCATCACCACATGCCAGCCAGCCCCGCCCCCTGGTGGGCTGAGCTGGAGGACACACACACATAAATAAATAAAATAAATAAATAAATAAATAAATAAATAAATAAATAAAATATTCTAGCCAGCTTTGGCTGGGTGTAGTGGTGTATACCTGCAATCCCAACACTTAGGAGTTCAAGGTAGGAGGATCACTGCGAGTTTAAGGCCAACCTGGGCTACACAGTGTGTTCAAGTTCTGCCTAAACTACACAGTGAGACCCTGTCACAAAAAAAATAAAATGAAATAACCATCAACATTGGTTGACCCCTAGACAGAGGTGGCGGACCAGGCTAGAGAAGGGGTGCTGGCTGTTAGCTCTTCAGGGAGCCTGAAACATGGAATGAGAACTGAAGCCAAAGACCACGGAGTCCAGGCCAGCCTGGTGCTCTGGAGTTAGCACAGGTAGTCACCCCAAGATACTATGGATTCACTGAGAGAGGAGGGAGTCACATCTGTGCTTTAGAAAAGTTCCTTGTGTCCTGCACAGCTATCCCCAAACAGCTTCTCTGAGGACTCAACAACAACAAGTCCCTGGCTGGCACAAAATTGGTGCTGCTCTGCCGTGGGATAATTGTCAAAGAAACCATGTGCTTTCCAATGGTGATGTGTGTAGTGTCTGCTGAAAGGAAGAGGAAGGGAGGAGGGAAGAGAAGAGGGAAGATGGAAGAGGGAGGAGGAGAGAGACTCAAGAGATGGGAGTGCAATCAGGCCTCTCAGGAGAAGAAGAGGCCGGACCCAGGGCCCAGCGTAGGATAGGAGATGGATTGCCAGGTAACAGGAACATGAGGCTGAGTTACAGGCCTGTTCCTAAGAGAAAATGTGAGTTGAGCAAAGTGTTCTAATGGCTGGAGGAGCAGCAGTGGGTTTGGAGCAGTTGGGCCTGTTTTAGAGTTTGAAGGGCCTGGGCAATTGGGTGTGCAAAGCAGAAAAATTATGTAGATGGGAGCCTAAGCTTTGGGTATCTTTGGTCTCTGGAAACCAGAAAGGGGATATCCCACCTTGGAAAGGAAAGACTCAGGCTGAGAGGTCCCAGGAAACTAGGGGTCCCTTGGGGGTAGGGCAGCTATAACACAGGGTCACCCCATGCAGCCCTACAGCCAGGCCGGGGAACTAGAGGGAGGAGATAGGGCTCTCAGATTTCATGGCTCTCATTTCTCCCACCCTGCCTAGCAGGGCCCTGGCAAAGGACCAGAACCCAACACTGGGCCTGGCTCTGCTGGGTAACCCAATGCCAGGCTGATCAGATGGGGAACCAGGTCCCCACCACCACTAGGGCATATTTTACTTCTGGGCTGCTGGTCTGTGCCACCTCCAGCCTTTATCCCAGCCACCTCTCCACCTGGAAAGTCTTCACCAGGCCCCATTAGCCAAATGCCAATTCCAAGGGCCTGCCCAGCACTGCCCTGTTCCTGCATCTTCCAGCCCTAACAGAAGTCCCTTCCCCACCAGCCTCTACCCACCAACACTCTTCCCTGGGACATACTCTGCCACCTGCTTCTACCACAAGGGCAGTGCTGGAGGTGACAGCCGGTCTCACTCACTAAAGATTCTGAATGCTCAGCCTACATCATCAGAAGGAAGGGAGAAGCCTGGCCACAGCAGTAATGAGCTCTCTGTCTCCTTAGCATCGGGCTACGAATCCACCCCAGTGCAGTCAATATGTTAATGCCACAGTGGGGTCTAGAATACAACCAGCACACCTGGGCAGATCCTCTCTTCCTGCCCCGGGCCTCCTGCTAGAGCTGAGAATCCTGTGTTACTGATGAGAGCTTCAGGTGAGAAGGGCCTTTCATGGCATCTTTGCCCATAACAGAGGACCGATGCCCACAGACACATTCATGAAGCCACAGGTGCCTCCTGTGTCCCTTTCTCTTGGGAACAGAGGGACCCACATCCTGCCTCCTGCCTGAGGATCAAAGAGGAGCCATCAGGGTTGGGCCTTGAGGTCTGAGGATGGCAGAGACTCCCAGGCCAGAGACAGCACGAGAAAGGCAGCAACTACAGGGTATCCTTTGGTGGCCGCGGGCAGAGGCAAGCCAAGACTTGGGAGGCTGCGATGCAGGCAGGTGTCGAGGGTGGGGGATTCCAGCCTACAGTCTCAGAAGTCCCCATGCAAGTGAGCAGTGGGCTGTCATCTCGACAGGGGCCTCAGGGAGTTTGCTGGGGCACAGAAGGCACAGGGATGCCACTGGATCCCCTGCTTGCTCCAGGTGTTTCTTCCCATAAAAGCCAAGCTGAGCCCCATAGAGAGAGGACCTGTTCCCTCACTTAAGCTCCCTGCAGCCCTGTATTCGCTGACTGACTCTCCATCTTCCTAGCGGGGTTGTGGACATGCAGCCCGGGACGATGGCCTCAGGCTGCGCGGGAGGGCAGAGGACAGAAAGCGAGGCCCAACAATCACCAGCTAGGATGAGCCTAGTCCCTGGTAGGGAAACTGAGGCGGGGTTGGGAGAGGTCACCCGCCCAAGGTCGGGAGCACGCGGAGCCCTGACTTCAGCGGCCCTGCGGGGCCCTGCTTACCTGGTAGTTGTCCAGCTGCTCTTCGGTGAAGATGGTCTGCTTGTTCCCCATGGCGCCGGCCTGGAGCCGGGAGCCCCGCGCCCCCGCCCTCGCCAGCCGGAGCGGGCAGAGCCCGCGACCGGTCGTCTCCTTGTGTAGCCCAAAGGGGGCGCGCGCGGGGTGTGGCCGGAGCTGGGGGCGTGGCCGGGGCGTGGCTGGGGAAAGGCCCAAAAGAGGGGCGGGGCCTAGTTTGAGGGGAGAGGCGGGTGGCCGGGCCGGGTGGGAGGGACCAAGGGCGCAGCCAGGGAAGGATGGGCGGGGCTTTGAGAAAGGTAGGGTGGGGCCGGAGAGGGAAGAGCAAGACCTAGCCTAAGGGGCGGGGCCTAACCTGAGAGGGGCGTGGACTGGAGGGCAGCAGGCACCACCTACCTTGCACTACCCGGAGCACCCTTGACTTCCGGTGGTGAGGGAACCAGTGCCCAGCGTGGCAGTTCCCTCAGGGTATAGGAGGCAAGGTGCCGGGGCTGTGTCGGGAATACCGCGGGCAGTACCCCCCCATCACGCGACCTTGGCGCACTCTTGCCGGGTCGCTGTCCCCCGGGCTGTCCTCACCTGGCCCTGATCCCGCGGGCCGTCTCGCTTGTCCCTTAGGGAGGAACACCGGGTTAGCTGGGTTTGAGATGGAAAGCGCTCAGGGTGTCCTTGGAAGCGTGGCAAAGTCCAGGACGTTTTCTTGGGTTTTAAACACATGCCATTTAAAGAGAGAAAACTTTACTCTGGTAGGATGGTGGGTTGGGCTTGAGAAATAACTGGATTAGGACAGGTTTGCAGCAGAAAATCATATAGATGTATTGAATGTAAGGTTTACGGGACACAGGCTGCCTAAGGAAACAAAATACTGAGAATTTGCAAAGCTGAAGCCATTGTGAGAAAGTCACAGGAAGATATGGGGAAGCTAAAAGAATATACGAGTTATTTTAATTAGATCTGTACATAATAATCTCAGTCTCAACGTGCCTTTGATAATGATTCTTTACTCCTGGTTTAGGGAGGGCGGCTTCCACATGAGAATTTCATCACCTCTGTTTTGAAGAAAAAGAAGGAAGCCAGTGTGGTGCATGCCTGAAATCTGAGCACTCTAGGAGGCTGAAAGAGGGGGATGAATTCAAGACCAGTTTTGGCACTTTAGTGACTTAGACAGAGCCTCTTTTCTCCTTGAAGTCTTCCCTTTGTCTACAGAGTGTTGTCATTTGGCTTCTCCTCTGACAGCTGCTGTTTGTGTCCTGTGAGCAGTTGCTGTATCTGCCTCAGTCACCCACCCCCCTGTAGGCCCTTGTTCAACTTGGTCTAACCCTAGCACTGAACAGTTTGTGTTAATTTTTTTCACCTCAGCATTATGGACCTAATAGGTTCTTCATGTACAGTATCTGGTGGTTAAATTAATACATAGCCTGGGACTGTCTCTTTTGGGGGAACATTATTTCCTTTGAAGCACCATAATACGGAGTATCTGAGATATTTTCTTGGCTCTATCCCCAGGGTCTACAGCAGGTCATGTGTGTGTGTGTGTGTGTGTGTGTGTGTGTGTGTGTGTGTTGTACCAGGAATCAAGCTTAGGACTTTGTACTTGCTAGGCAGGTGCTGTACGTTGGAGCTATAGTCCTGGCTTGTAGGGTTTTAATAAAGTGTAATCATTATTATTTAAAAGAATACTGCCTGTAATCCTGGCACTCTGGGAAGCTGAGGTGGGAGGATCAGACATTCAAGTCCAGTATGGGCAGCTTAGTGAGACTGTCTCAAAATCAAAAACAGAACTCTCAGTGATCCTCCTGTCTCAGCCCCCTGAGTCCTTGGATTATAGGCCCACAGCATCACACATGATCGCCTTTTCCTCATGCTTTGTACTTTGTGCTAATCATGTCTTAACATTCCATCACGATCACTGTGGTCCAACCCCATTGTTCTGGCCACTTAGTTCATATACTGTGGTTTCTTTGCTCATCACTGACCAACTCAAGTGAGGCCACTTACTTGAGAAAAATAGGACATATTCAAAGCTAGCTCCAAGAAGTTGGGGGGCCTCATTGCCTGAATGGCCATATCACTGTGTACAGCTATGAAGTGTGTTAGGATCTTTCATAGCAAGTGGAGGCAGGGAATACAGTGAGACAGTAGACACATCCAGGCCTGATGCACCCCTTCCTGGGCCCATCTCTCTCTCTGCCTTGGTAATGAAACTGGACTTTGACCTCCTGGTGGTGGCAGCTGTACATTTTATCCATGCATATGGGCTGAGGAAAAGTGAGGATGGCAGTTTATGCCCTAGGCCTGAGGAGGCATAGAGAAGGCATTTGTCTCTAAAGGGAAAAAATCGAGAGAGCGGGACATCAGGCTTCTGCACTAGAACTTTCCTTGTGGCAATGAGGGAAGACCGGTGACCACTCAGCGTGGAAGCTGCAGCAGGTTTAAAAATGGGTGATGTTGAGAAAGGCAAGAAAACTTTTGTACAGAAGTGTGCCCAGTGCCACACTGTTGAGAAGAGAGGCAAGCACAAGACTGGGCCAAATCTCCATGGTCTCTTTGCGGGGAAGACAGGTCAGGCTGCTGGATTCTCTTACACAGATGCCAACAAGAACAAGAACAAAGGTAGAGGATACATTGATGGAGTATTTGGAGAATCCTAAGAAGTACATCCCAGGAACAAAAATGATCTTTGCTGGCATCAAGAAGAAGGGAGAAAGGGGAGACCTAATAGGTTACCTCAAAAAAGCTACTAATTAGTAATAGTCACTGCCTTATTTATTACAGAACAGAAATGTCTCATGGCTTTTGTATGTGTACCATAATTTAATCTCATACACCAGAATTCAGATCATGAGTGGCTGACAGAATATTTTTGTTGGACAGTCCTGATTTAAATAAAATTGGCTTGTAGTTAAATGTACATCATTTTTTAGTTCAAGGTTTGACAGTAATTCCAGTTTAGTAAATACTATCATTGTTTTCCCTTCTAAATACATGGTTGGACTTGATTAGTTGTGTTCAACTTTTTTTTTTTTTAATTATTTTTTTTGTGTGTGTGTGTGTGTGTGTGTGTGGCCAGCTCAGCCCACCAGGGGGCGGGCTGGCTGGCATGTGGTGCTGGGGGATTGAACCGCGGTCCCTGTGCTTTGCTAAGCTTGTTCTAAGTAGGTGCTTTAGACCACCGAGCCATCCCACCAGCCCCAGTAATGTTCAACTTTTCACAAAGATTGAGAATGTCATCTCAAAACAAATGAAGGTTGGTTTAATAGTTAGATTTATATAACTGGTTATGTGAATATGTTTAAATACTGAGAGAATCTTTCATTGTCTCAAAACCAAGCAGGACTCCCCTGTTTCAGTTTATGTTAATTAGCCTGTTAAAGGGAGTGAAGACAAGAAAGCTATGTCTATATTCTTGGTCTTGACTATGCCAGTTTAATTAGAATTCCCTATATCTAAAAAGTGTTGCCTTTTACTTATTGAAAGACATTTTAGTGTGGTATATGTATAATACCAAATAAAGAATATTTAATATTTCTCACATTTTATAGTTGATCTGTAAATTCAGATCCTTTTATGAGTTAGCATGACATAACAGCAAGTTCGACTTTTGATTTTAGGTCAGACTGAGTTACTGTTCATGGTAGTATTTAAACAGCTATTCAAAAACACAAGACTAAAACTACTGTTGTATGTATGATTGATAGTGGTGCTTCCTGTCAGCTCATTAGAAGGACTAAAGTGAGGAAGGTACAACATGAGCACAAATTTGTATGTGACCATAATACTTAATTGAAACAAATCAGATTGAAAAAAAAATAAAGGGAAAAAAATCCTACCTTTTAAAGTTCTATATTTCTATGCCAGTTACAATTCCCCATCTTGCTTTAGGTCAGCTGGTAATAGTAAGGGCCTGTGGTGCTGCGTCTAGCAATCAGTGTAAGGTAGAATTAGGGGTAGACTCAAAGGTGGCTGGAGTGAGAGAAAGGAAAGCAGAATGATGCCTGGGGCGGGGGAGGGGGGACCACTGCTAAAGATTGTTTGGTTCAATAAAAAAAGCCAACGTCACGTTGCATCTAACAGCTCTACCTCCTGGAAGGGCATCTGCATAAGAACCCTCTTAGCCTCTGCGGCTCTACTCATTTGGAAGGACTGACAAACAAGGTGACTCTTTGGTGCTCAGAATTCCTCCCTTGTCTTCAAATGCATTTACTTCCTTTCTGAATGCCTTGCCACTTGTAACATCTATAGCCTTCTGCCATGGTGCCCAGGTAGCTTTCCCCAATGAGGGTCAGTCAGAACATGTGCAACACTGGAGAAGATGTGACAGCTGGTTGAAGTCAATGTCATAGAAGCTTTTTTTTTTTTTTTCTTCAAAATTGAGCAACTGCAGTGATTTAGAAATCATGGTTATGATATTATTTACATCTGGAATGTCCCCCAAGCGACTCCTATATTCAGAGATGGAGCTTTGGGAAGGTGATAGATCATGGGAATATCATACTTATCAGTGAAGTCATCCACTAATGAGTTTAGTAGTGGATCATGCTGTTAGAGGTGAGGCCAGTTTAGAAGCAGCTCAGCAGAGGCCTGACCTGGAAGGATGTATTCTTGTTCCTGGCTCCTCTCTTTTCTTGGCTTCCTGGCTTCCAAGACTTGAGTAACTTTCCTCCGCCCAGACCCTTGTCATTTCTGTCTTGGAGTCAGAGGACTATGGACTGAGCATATAAACCACAATAAACCTCTCCTCCTTTAAGTTGTGAATGTCAAGTAATCTGTCTTGGTAATGAGAAGAATGACTAACATTTTCATACCAGAGATATGGGAACATTTCTGTGACTACCTAGGCAAGTAGTTTAGAAGCCTTTGGAAGTGGTTTGCTGGAAGAGTTTGGAAAGGTTTGGAGATGCTGGTTAGTAAAGCCCTAGAATGCTGTAGGCCAAGTTTGGTGGGAGATTCTGATCAAAGCACAGAAGACCAGAATGCTGATAAAAATACTAGTGGTAAGGACCAGGCTTAGGAAATTTTAGTTGGAAAGTACTCCATTTGCAGTGGACTCCAGGCCATGTGTGTTACACTCTGAGAAAGGTACTATCTACATTTTGCCTGTGTCCTAAAACTGAGATTAAGGGCAGTGGACT